GATGTCTGCTTTGTTGCCTGTAGGTTGGCAACCTACAGCTAGATTGAATATATGTTTGCAAGGCAGAGCGCGGGTGATGTCTGCTTTGTTGCCTGAGGGTTGGCAACCTGCAGCTAGATGGATTCATGTTTACAAGGCAGAATGCTCGTGATGTCTGCTTTATTGCAGGTATATAATTAGGTTGGCAACCTACACCTAGATTGATTTATGTTTGCAAGGCAGAGCACGGGTCTGCTTTGTTGCCTGTAGGTTGGCAACCTGCAGCTACATTGCAAGGCAGAATGCGGGTGATGTCTGCTTTGTTGCATGTAGGTTGGCAATCTACAGCTAGATTGATTTGCAATTCCAAGGCAGAATGCGTGTGATGCCGGGCCAAGCTTGAGGAGTGACGGGGAGTAGATATGGCACACAAATGTCTAATATCGGTGGTTTATGTTGACCCCTATCTAAAAGACATGTAGGGGTTTGCGCCATCTACTCTGAAACCACTGTATGTCATGACAAGCACAAATAAAGCACGCTGAAGGGTTCAAGGGATTCAAGGGGGCATTTTCTAATCAGAGACAGGCTCGCTAGAGCTGCTAGGGACACACATGACACACAGCATACTCTCCAACGCTGTCTCTTTGTCCCTGTTGGCTCTCTTGCTCGGAAGCTTAGATATACAGTATAGCTTAAATCACAATGTCAGCTCAGGCACCTTCTCCCCTTCTTCCATGGCCTTTGGCGATGCCTGAGTGGGAGCTTCCAGGAACAGTGCAGGAAGCTCCGCAAAGGTACCGCAAATGCACTGCAAATTCGCGGGGTGCAGTGAGTGGTAGGGGCAATTGTCACGCATTCTCATGCACGGGTTCTAGGGGCACTTGACAATGCAATCCCTCCCTCTATCAGTCTCCTTACATAGCTGTATTGGTGGTTCTTCAACAGGGCAATGACAACTAATAACAAGTTTGGCGTATGATTTGACCCTTTCATCCTTGGCTCCTTTGGTTTCTATTTCTAGCTTGTCATTTGGACCAAGTCCTCCCATCCACCCCTACTATATGCTACTATATATTCCTTCCATCCCGCCGTTGTAACAAGCATCCTGCCCCGGTGCTTTTGGAGACACCTGAGTTGCGTTGCTGCTAGGCACCAAAGCTAGGTCTTCGAGAAGCTCGTGGCACGGCATAGCATCGTTGCTTTGCATAGCCAACACATCTGTACAAAAGAATCCACTTGACACAACTGAGGCCAGCCTCACCACCATCTGTCTCGATTTGCGGCACGATTGCCGAGATATCCTCCTTCGGTTCCGGTGCACCCATTTTTTTGCTGATCCCTTACTCTTATTCAGTAAGACTCTTGATGTCTCTAGATCGTAGATTCCTTTGATTGGCTGTTTGTGGGGATGCCACTAGTCTATTTGATGCTGAGCGCTTACCTTTGATGCAACTGCCTCATGGCAGGCTAAACTTTAATCTAGTGTCACAGTTTACAGTTATTTCCTGGATTATTGACAGTTGGGGTCGTCTGGCCCCAGCAACAAAAAGCAATCTCACAAGTAAAGTGATTTCGATTTTTGATGCAACCTTATCCAAGAACACCGATCCTCTGCAAACTTATGTATGAAAAACCCAACTATTTGAATTTTGAACCTATTGGGAAAAAGAACCTGGATATGCATATTGATTGCTGTCGCGTTTTTGTATCTCTCACCAATGGCTGGAACTAGACTCTAAACATGCTGGAGTCTTCCCCCCTAGGCTGCACTTGTGATGTGAACGCAGCTGTTTCTTGAGGGCGATCTGCATATTGTGAGGACATTTCATCGTTTGTGCTGCATCTGTAGCCTTCGGGTGCCAAATTGCGACCAAAGTGTTCATGATTCTGCCACGTGGCATTGGCCCATATGCTATACCGATATACCTGATAATCACTGGAGGGCCTACCAGAATGACTGGAGGTGCAAGAAATTATCGGGGTTGAATTGCAAACATGTGGCACCATTGCCAGAAACTGCCGCTTGCCTTTCTAACCCTCGACCTTCGGTGATGATCTGCTGTCATACTAAGGAACCAAAGGCGGAACAAAAAGTTACACTGGCGTCAGACCAGATTCTCTCGGTCCTCTTGCGGCGCCATTGCTTGCAGCTCCACACTGGGAAGTGTGAGGTTGGGGTGGGCTCAACACACCTTCGAATGTTACCAAATATGGCTGCAGATTTTCGAATGCTGTGCGAAGCGGATGGAGTGCACACATAAGGAAAGTGCACCATTGTGAACTCACATCAAGTTCGCCTAATTACTACCAACAGGAACCTTACATGGTACGCGTACGGTCTTGCCTGTCAGACTTCCTTGCCTCAGGGCGAGGCATGCACAATGCAAGACCTGAAGTCCCTGCCTCAATCCTCACTTTATCATAAGAGCCATTACCGACCGTTCAACTAGAGTAGAAATCGGAATGGCCGATGAGACGAACCACTGCACACTTCACACGAAGAAAAGAAACACGTCCTTTGAGAGTTGGAAACTTAGAGCGTTCCACCTGTTGAAGCTTGAAACGTGGAGAGGGGTCACTTTGCTCTTATTCATGTTGTCTATAGTCTATAGACGTGTCGAAAAGTTGCACATTCATCCTCCTTGTGCGGCGGGTCGATTGACATCACGCTTGGCACTGCACTGTCCGCAACGTCTGGAGTCTGGAGATCGAACTTTTCTGCCACGGCACCTTTCAGCGTGTATCTGCACTAGCTTGATGTTGACATATGTTGACGGTGGAGATCAGAAGCTTATGTTGCTGTTGGCTTCTGCTAACCATAATGTTGCCCATCTGCATGTCGCTTTGCTAGGTGACAATGTCCTTCTTGTAGAGTCTTGCTGAATAAAACCCCCGTTCGGATGCCACTCGAATTACAAATTTATCTGCTCAAAAAGAGCTCAAAGAACATCAACGAACTAATTATTGTCAGGATTGCTAAATGTGTCGAGGTGTTTCTTTCTTTTGCGCACAGCGGATCTGGCGATCCAATTGGTCTCTACTTGCTACTCTTTCAGTTCCTGCCAGTCCCCCCAGGTGGCTTGGACGGGACCGGGAGTGGTAGTACTGAGTAGTACTGGTATTGGTACATCTGTGTGAAAACGTGGATTATGTGGCATGTTGAGTCATGTTGAGCCAAAGTTTATGGAAATATTGATAGGTCTCTGGTCCATTGGGAAGCACAAGAGTCTACATTTTTGTGGTTGGGACTGCTTTCCATCCAGCACTGAGCTCCCCTGCTAAAGCTGCTGACAGCAAGCCTGGTGGATGGTCACGTTTATTTGAAAACTATCACAACTGTTATTCCGTTTTGAGGTTCTGCTGTGCAGCACACAGATTTCTCAGGATTGCCAAGCAAGCACTGTCAAGCGGGCTCGTTTCTTTTTTTTCTCGGAGTCGTTGCAATGTATCTCTATCGGTGGTCCACCTTGCACATGGACTCTGCCGGAGTAGAGCCTGATCCCTGGCTTGCTTCAAGCGTTTCTTTTAGTCAATGTCACATCTAATCCATTTCACTTGGAAGTGTGTGCATAAGATTCCACACATTAGGGGATTTACGGGAAGCTAGGAAAATGAGCCAGGCAACACAAAACGGCACAGAACGGCCATCACAGGCATTGAAAGTTGCAGAGCGAGTCTTACCGATGCGCTCTTGACACTCAGAGGCCTGGGACAAAGCATCCAGTGGCCCCTTCACCGACCAAAAGCGAGTCTTCGGCATGTCACCCTGCGACCTTCTGTCAGCCGGATGCGGCACGTTGTGCGAATGGGTCTTTGTGATATGTTGATCTATGAGCCTATGACCTATCCAAACATGTCACTGATTCATACTCTGTCGCACCCACTGCCAGGAGACCTTCAAAGTAAGTTCAGTGAGTCTTCAAAACCGCCTAGTTCACAGTCGCATGGCCATCAATCTTGGTTTTAATTTTAATCAATGCCCGTGCTAAACAAGAATGGAACAAGTGCAAACAATGGCAAAGCACACACTGAGCTTAAGCTTTCACTGATTTTCCTGAATTGTCAAGCGTGTCAACTACACACTCCTGCACGCTCTCACTGCACTTTCAAAACTAAAGCTCCGTCTTCTGAGACATTTGCTCAATGAGCTTCATGCGCTGCTTGACCTGGGTTGCTCTTGTTGCCGTACTGAAGATGAACGGGCGTTTTTACCCAACACCCAAGGTTGGTCTGCCTCTCTCTCTCTCTCTCCCTCCCTCTCTCGCCCTCCCTCCCTCCCCCGTCCTCCCTCTCCCTCCCTCCTTCCACCTCTTGCATGTCTTGTCACCCGCTGTCCAGCCCTAACTTTGATGAGGGGTCGCCCACCCCCAGCACCTACCTAGTCACTGAGGCTGAAATACCTGATCTGCCGTGTTGCCACCACCAGGGCCTACCTACTATAATATATACACTTGTAGCCGTCACTGACGGTTTCATGAAAGGACTTAACTTGCAAACTAGTGGCCCATTTCAAGGCATCTGGCTTCATGGAAGCACCGTCCTTCTCGAACATGCCTGGAACATGAGGATAGAAATCACGCATTGTGTTTAGCTCCGCTGTCCTTCATAGGCAGAAGCTTTCGTTCGTCATGTCCTTTGAAGTTGGAGGCTCTGGCATCTCTTGGGATGGCTAGAAAGCAACAAGAATGATTGCCATGCCTTCTGGACTTTTTGGAAGCCAAGGTGCCCTTGAGGCGCGTCAACTGGCCTTGAAGGTCAGCATTGGGTTTCCTTGGAGCCCAAAAAATCAACTGGATGTATGATAACGTCTGGCGCCTGCGCACACGGACGATATCAAGTGATATCCGGGTATTCCATATTCAATGATATTCACATACGAGTACATGTATTCTTGCTGAATGAATAGGTACCAGTACCAGGGTTCTCGCATATCGTCTGAGGGGGCCCGGTGAGCTGTGTTCACCGGAGCAAGCACAACCGCTCACGCTACGGCTCCTGCGGAACGGAACTCGAGGAAACGGCATGGATGGAGGTGCCCAACTTTTGTTGGAAATCATGATGGTGTGGTGGAGATCTGTGCTTCATGTCCCACGCGGGCGCAGCGTTTAGTGTGGTTGGCAATTTGCATCGCTGTGAGGATTTGTTCGAATCGAAGCTGAGTTTGCGTGACAAGTCTCAGCTAGAAGAAAATTAAGTAGTGCATTTTTTGTGTGCGGCGTGTGTACGATGTTGGAAAGTGCCGACACTGTCACCATTCCAAGTATGTGTTGTGCAAGGCTTGCTCTACCCACAAAGGCGTGGAATTGTCTCCCCCGTGGCAGGCAAAACAATCTGAAAATGGAATATTATTGTTATGTCATATTACTGTATGTAATTATAAGTGCAGAATCCTTTTGTGAATGGGGATGCGTCTGGATTGCTTCAGGAGAGGGTCGCATGCGACTGCGCCATGGATTGCGATCTGCGAGAGCCATGGTGGACCGGAAGGCGCATTTCCCACGTAGCGCCCGGCCGGTGGACCGGGCTGGTGGCCGTGGTACGTCTTCAGTTACGTCCCGACGGTACCGTTCCTCCACTCAGGGGTTTGGTCCGTAACCCCTTGAAAAAACCCTCCTCTCCTGGCTTGGTTGGGTTATGCGGGGTTTGCAACGAACATATCGATAAAAAAAAGAACATTAAAATATACTTTAACATCTTTAAAAAAGTACAAATAGCACAAAAGATTGGATCACGTGAAGCCCCGTGTGATTCATAACAGGCCCCTTTTTTCAGCAAGCGAAGATAGCGAAAAGACTGGAGGTGACACATATGCAAGTCATCGTTGACAATTTAGATTGTACGGTGGGCGAATCGTGACAAAAGATTTCTTTAGATCTCGTGGTATGTTTTAGTTTTGATCACTTTACGCTCACCAGAAAGATTGCGACCAATCGCGACCTGTGCTGGTGGTGGTTCGTAGTGTGCAAAATTTTGCAACACTATCAAGGTAATATCAAGGGATATCGGCGAATTTGTACGGTAAGGTGCCAGGACAATTGTGTGGCTCTTGGCAGTTTAAGAATCCGTATGTAACTTCCAATTTGGCAATGCGGGGCGACGTGAACAGCGACCCACGTGCGAGATTTGTTTTCGCGTGGTACGTGCTCACAGCTGCGGTTCAGTGGTCCACTTTCGAGTGAAGCACTGAGTGTCCTACGAGAGTGACCTGACAGAATTCCCATGAATTCACTGTTCGACCCGATTCGCTCTTTGGCTACTGAAATCCACTGAACCACATCCTCCACCAAGATTCCCAGACCACTTCTCGATAAACTTGACTTGCTGATCGGAGCAGCCCTTCTTGTCGCTGGGGTCACACATAGAGGCAAACTCTTCAACCCAATCGCGCATATAAGTCCTCAGTGCAGCTCCCAAAAGAAAAAGTGCACTGGAGTGAGGGGATGAGCAAAAGCATTACGCAGGAGCCCCTAGTAGCGTCCTTGCCCCTAGTAGCGATGCCAGGAGCCCCTAGTAGCTTCTTGTTCCTAGTAGTAAGGCCAGGAGCCCCTAGTAGCGTCCTTGCTCCGCCTCATGTCATTCTCCTTTCGTCTACCAATGTTCACCAACATCTGCCAAGCAAACTGCCTACCACTACCACGATCCTTCTGACGACTGAATTCCAAATGTTGGTTCCCTCATCTATCTGCATGTCTTCCACGTGAGACCGGTGAAATGGCAGTGAAAGCCGTGAGCCTAACTTTTATATAGAATGTTTTAAGCCCATTCGTTCCTTGAAAAGCTCTCAAGCCTCAAGCCATGATCAAGCCATCCTTTCTAAGACCGTTTCACACAAAGCTACGTCGCTACATGACACGTCGATGCTACGTCGCTCATTGCACACCGCTCTTTTTCTGCTTAGCTTCTCTTTGGGCCCGAGCTCATCGCACATCGCCTTGTCGGTTTTTTTGGGGTACGCTTTGCCTCCATAGCCCGTTTCCTTGTTGAAGTAGCGGACCGTGGGCCACCCTCCAGATCCTGGAAGAAACGGCAAACAACCATGAACGCCTCCATCTGCATCGTAAATATGCTTGGTGCATGTTGCTGGACTTGGAAGTTGTGATTGCAAGGCGGCACTGCAACACAAGCTAAGCTGGTTTCTGGG